TGTATCTTCATACCAGCTATGGCCCCTGTGTCATAACATTTCTGTCAAAACTACCTTCAGCACCAAGGGCTCTGCATTGTAGCACAGACATCTTCTGAATTATGCAGGGGCTAATATCCTCCTCCTCTTCCTCCCATTCATGAAATAAGCACTCTCAGTGTGGAGAGTTAGAACTACAGCAGAGCCAGATGAACAACTGACTTACTGTGTCCTGCCAATGGTGTACCACATCCACACAGAGACAATCTCCTTTGCACAAAGTGGTCACTAGAAATGCTCAAACCTCAAGATCTTCTTTTAATTAAACTTTTCAATATTAAGCAAAATTTCAGTCATTTTTAAAAATTGTCTTTCTTTGTATTTGTGTGACCATTATTCCCAGTGATTTCTAAGCAGCAATGTACTTCCAGGAGAAGAATACTCCATGATATATCAGTTCTCTGGAACACTTCTTTTTTATCCTTGTTTAACTCCTTTGCCGGTTTTAGTACAGCCAGCAGTCTTTAACAGATGATGGACCAAAAAGAAACATAATTTCAGATTTTAAGTATCTGAAAGTCTGTAGAAGTCCCTGAGAAAAACAAAAACTCTGCGTCATTTTAAATTGCATACACAAAAACAAAAGGCACCTTTGGGAATTAAAAATCTCCGCAATACAAATGCAACTGATGTAATCCCAAAATAAGAGGCTGTCTTAATATATATCAATAAATAAAACAATCTGTGCTACAAACTTGGTTAAGAGGACTGGGGGGGCCAAGACTCAGAGGAGACTAACATGAGCTACAAGAAAAGGAAAATACTTCATTTTTTGTGTTTCTGTTGGATTGCTTTTGAACAGGCCTTTTGCTCAGCACTTCCTGACATGAAACCTTGATCCACAAGCCTTCCAAGCACAAATCTCATCCAGATTTCATCAGAAATTTGGTGGATGCAGAACTCACGGGATTACGTCTGGTACGCCATGTACAGTGGCAAGCACTCACACAAGCATACAAACAGCAGCACGTCCTTTCTAACAGAAATTTAGAGATTTGTAGGTAGAGTTGCAGTGCTACATTATAAAGGCACGCTCTAAGTCACTAAAAATTCTAAAAAGAAAACACTCTTTCCCTTGAATCGAAGCTTTGGCCTGGGGTTCTAACCTTCATTACAGTTTGCAACATGTAAAAGCAACAGATAAACAGAACTCCTCTTCCTCCTCTCATCATTGTAATACCCTGGATCACAACATTCTTAGATAATTTTCAGGCTGCTAATTCAATGCCCACCAGCAATTCTGTTATTTCCTCTTCAAGCACATTTTAATGTTATTGCATCTGAAATTCAAGTCTGGTAAATATAATAAATTTGATTATAACTTAGATTCCCTACTTATTAAATTAGCTTATTTTCAGAAACCATGATGAATCTAAAGGAGAAAAAGCAGCAAATTATACCTGACAGCTTTAATGCATTTATAACTATATGAATAAAAGATGTGATTCATCACAGATAATAAGTCTTGCAAAAACTTTGGGTGAGCTGAGAAAATAATGGTAACAGCTTTGCAAAACTACTTATAATTTAAAATCATCTGAGTGGTGGGGAAAATGTGGCAGATTCTAAGGACTACAAAGTGGTCAAAAATCCATTAAATTTGCTCTTGCATAATTTCTCTTTTTGTGTAAAACCACAGCAGTAATTTTTACTTTCATAACTGCTGGTATAAGATCAGGTATGGAGAAACAAGACAAGACACCTTAGTGAGTAAACATCTTACCATTCTCTGATTTGCTATAGGACAGTATAAGCCTCACTTTGTACTCACAAGCCTAACACACAGTAGTATTTATTACCTCTGTGACAATAGAATTGTGTTTTGTACAGTATCAGTGCTGTAACTCCAGGATGCACAGGAGAAGGCAGGACAGAAGACTTCAATGTCTAAACCCACTCATATAGAACATTCACTATTTATTCTGGCTAAGCTGTTTCTAAGGGTAGGGGATGAAGATGATCAATAAGGCAGATTAAGTTCTAGGCCATCACATGTATGTAGAAGTACAAAAGGTAGGTTCTGGACTGAAGTTCTGGACTGAAGTTTTGCTAGTTACTTCAAGCATCTTAAAATCTTAGATTGTCTCAGTCTTAGGGAATATACGGGATTTTAACCTTGTATCATTATATACAAAGGAATTAGAATAAGGTGCACTAAATAAGGTATCATTATATACAAAGGAATTAGAATCAGGTGCAATAAATAAGGCATAAAGTTAATGGTAGTGGTTCCCACCATGCTTTAGACATTTTTTCTTACATCTTCTTGCTACTTGCTTTTATTGGACCATAGTCTGTCCTGTCTCTTCAGAATGTAAGTTACAACAAATTAGAATCAGTGGAGTTATAGCTAGGAAAATTTTAAAACTACTAAGGTGGATGTAAGAAAGTGATGAGTAGCAGCATCAGACTGACAGATATCCTTGGATTTAAAATCAAATGTGGACACCAAAAGTTTGGTAATGCAGAATTTTTTATTTTAATTTGTAAAATGTGGACCAAAAACTGTCTAAATAAAGTAATATTTGCAGAAACTGTTTTACAAATAGCACCTGCCTCTGGGGATTATTTCCAGCTCTGTCACTGCCTTGTTTTAAGATTTTAGATGAGTCATTCCAGCCTAATGTGTTCCATGGTACAAAAAAAGAAGGTAATCAACCTCTAGTGACCCTCCATGGATGCTGTAATACCCAGTTCTTGATAAGGTACCCTGACCTTTCAGAGCAGTAGAGTCCCCTGTTGCTCTCCCTGCAGGGATTGTGGTACCATCCCAACTATGGTATCCCAACTCAACCATCCGAGTTGAGTTTCTGGCAATCAGCAAGTAAACCTAGCTGCTGAATATACCAGTATTACATATAATAAATCAGAAATTATATAAAAAGAGATTGAGGTGGAGAGTACATTAAAAGAAGACAAAAGAGATTCCATGAGTGTTAAGTCATTTAGATCCTACTTAATCTGTAACAAAAATGGCTAGCCTACAATTTACTCAATACAATAATGCAATACTTATTCTTCAAACTTGCCTTCCATTTTGTCCATCAAGGTCTGACAAGAGCAGTGGGCTCTTCGGGTGCTGAGATGTTACCAGCACTGAGACCACTGTTTGGGGTAGATTTGGGGTAAGGCCACACCATGATAGTCCCTGGTTTCCAGCAGGTTACCCACAGACTCTTCTGCTCCTCAGTGCTTCACTGGTGCAAGCTTCCTGGTTGCTTCTCAGGGTTTATGGAGTGGGAGGCTCCTGACTGACCTAAGGTCCTCTGAGTGAAAATGGCATCTGTCATCAGTCACCCCCTCCCTCCTCTCAGAGGCCCACCCACCTAAGCAATCTAGCATGGTATGCAGAACACTCCTAAATGCCTTCAACTACCACAGGCAAGTAGGCAGGCATCCTTTGGAACACTGAATAATCTACCTTTGTGCTCTCTCCAAACTCCCTCTGCAGCAAATGATAGCAGTAATGTCTGAACTGACAGAGTATACATGTATTTTTCATGTAAGTCAAGACACAAAAAAGACATAAATTCTGTAAGACATAAATTCCAGTGCTCCCAAATACAGATGTTCATAAGCCTAGTAACAAGTTAGTACACAGGGAGGGAATGAGGATATCACAACTTCTCCCATGCAACATTCTTCCTTCAGTTGCACCTTTAAGTAACACATCTCTGCTTTCATCTGTCATCAGGGTGGCACCCCATAATCAAACTCTATCTCCTTTGTTGCCAACTCTGACAGCATATGTGCCCAGCAAGTTTGATATCCAGATCTGCAAGAGTTCATTTCCAAAAATCTCAGCAGAAACTAGACAGAGTAAAGAAAAGCAGTTTACAGTATAGACATTTACAGGTGCACAAAAAGAATCTCTGTTCCCCTTACAGTCAGAGAGACTGATATGAGATTCAACTGAGCCACTTCAACAATTATCTTGGGATGAAACAACTCATTCCAGAGATGAACACTTACCCCATTAACAAGAGCATAAGATGATAAATTCAGATACAGACACCTATATGTAGACTTTTCTTTTTAGTGGGATGAACCTTACCCATGTCTTACACACCTCTGTTCTTTTACACAAACCTCCTTCACATGCTTTAGTTCCACCAGTTTCTTCTGCTCCTCAGAAATTAGGTTACGGATGATTTGCTGTGGATCCTCTGGACTACTTCAACTAAATCTCTCCATTATAGACCAGCCACAGAGTGTCTCCACCTAAGCAGCAGGAACATGAGACCCATAAGCAATATAAATGCCATGTGAGCAGAAGATTCTCTAAGCCTTGTGAACATGAGACAGTCTGTGCGTGTCAACTTTTTGCTCTCAGTACAGCTCATGCCTTTTTGGACACATGCAATTCAGATATTCCAGAATACCAGTCCCTTCAAGTCCCCTCAAGACCTTTCACTTCTCTAGAAAAAGGTTATGTAATGGCTTGGAAATCCTCTCTGGGTGTGCTCAGCAAAACAGCTCCTGCCTGACAACTGCCAAATGGGGACTGTCAACTTTATCCATAGCTTTGTCAGGGATTTTTATTAGTGCCATTGTTACTGTGCTTTTGTGAGTGGATCCAACAGCAGCTTTGATGCAGCTGAGGATCCCTCACCAGCAAATATATAAAGACTGCCCACAATATTCACACAAATAGTAAAGCTATTTTTCAGCTCTGCAAGTGCCAAATGCAGACATTTATGGAAAAAGATTCTGCTGACTACAGTGAACTTCATATTAGGACTTCCAAGTTTTTTATGAAAGGATCACAGAATCTTTTATAGTGAAGCTGTATTTCTATCACACACTCATTCTATTAGGTTAACCAACTAAACACATACATGGAAAATAATCATGCCTTCCCTCTGCTTATATAAAAATAGGTGCAATCACAGCTCATAAATAGCATTGTGAGCAAAAGAACAAAACACCATTTGAAATAATGGAATACATTACAGAAAACAGTAATTTAGAGTTTTATTATTCCTTTATTTTTCACAGAAATTATATACACTTCACCATCTTCAGTAGTATTAAGGATGTGATAATTAAAGTGACTTTCATTAATAAATCACAGTAGCAGCAACATGTAGTTGCTTTAGACTGCGGTCTGTGAAAGAAACAAGAAATAAATATATGATGTTAATCTACTTCAACATTTCCAGAAAGCACATATTTTAAAAATATTTTACAGGTTATAATACTGATAATTCTATAATTGTTTCTTTGGTAATACTGTGAAGTAATGCCTTGCCATCTTTATAGTATTTTTTGAACTACATAATGATAGTTATTTTAAATTATATCAGTTTCAGTAACATTGCTTTTAAAAACATAAAGTCAGAGTCCCTAATAAATCCTTCTGGTTTTTCAGGTAACACACTTAAAATTAACTTTGCTAATCTTGACATGTTTTATTGTACCCTTACATAAAATTTCTATCCCTCTCTCTTTTTAAGTACAGAATCTATACAACAGAAAGTCTTAAGCAATCTTAACTATAGTTATTGCTGCCAACTCTTCCTATAAAACTCAGGCTGAAATAGTGGTATAATTAAAATTGATTGCAATGCTCACACTGATTTCAGAGAATGAAAGAAAAGAGAAACACTCCCTGAAATACAACAGTCCCAGCAACACAATTCTATATTTACATAGGAAGCACTGGTAATAAGATTTCGGGAAATCCTATGATTAATATAGACAAAATACATATATAAATTTGCATATATTTGTATGTATATAAAAAGATAGGTTAAAGGTCAAAATGATAGGATTTTACTTACCTATAGGTCTCTCTTTTTGAGACTTAGTGCTAGCAGCACTGCAGAAGAATGTTTTCAAAGGAAGAAAAATTAAGGACAACTTTTTAGCCAAAAACATGAGGAGAATATAAGTGCTAAAATACATAATGTAATTCCATTACTTAAAACATTTTCAGGGGACTTCTATTATTGTTGCAAAAGTGCCATGGGATCTTATCATTAAAAACAGCAGTTGAACTACAGTTCACATCTAATAGCAAAAAAGTCTTGAATCTTCAAAGATTTATGTATACAGTTAATTTTATGTCTAAATAGTCTTGCTTCAGAGCACAGAATTTTTCAAAGTGCTTAAAATTAGGCATACTATCTGAAACTTGTCACTGAACTGAGACCTATGGCCTTACTTAGAAAGTAACAGCAAATAAACTTCTCAAATTTAAAAAATGAATATTCCTTCACCAAAGAATATCAGTTTTGATCTGCCTTTTGTATTCATTTTAATGCTTAATCAGTCTGTGTGCCATATCTTTAATAAATCAAATATTTATCACAAGAAGGTCACTGTCAACTTAAAACTGCATTTTAAAATCTTTCCGATTCCATTACTGTTATCTTCCATTCTCAGATTTTTTTAAGTAAGAATTTTGCTTTCAACCTTTCTTTTCTGATTTTCAACTTCACTTTAAAAAAGTAATTCTGAAGCTTGAAGGAATTTGTTACATACACCAGCAACGTTTCTCAGCTAGCTACATACAAAGAGTGTGGGAAGACAATGAGTTAGAAAGGTCAGTATAAATGAATGCTATGAGAGGTATTTGGGGACACATATCTTAGATAAATTTTAATTCTTTTCCTTTTAAATGGACTCTATAATGATAAGCTTTCAAGTAACTTTAGCAAGTTGAAAATATTTGAAGATAAGCTATATTTATAGTGTAGCTCCTAACTGCAAAGATTGCTGTGAAGTCTTATTTATGAGCTGAATGGTGTTATCTAGCCACAAAATGCTCATATTTATTTTCAGACCTACTAGTGGATGAATGTTGACTGTCTGGTAATTAGTTCCATTTCCAAAGCATAGAAAACAACTGGACTTTTTACAAACTAACAGCTTAAAAGATTCTTCATTGGAGGAAGGTAATTCAGATTTCTTGAAAGTAGTCTCTTCTTTATTTGTTGTTTGGTTCTGTTTTTTTCTTGTGGAGCAGGGATGGGTAGAAATTATGAAAATGGTCAAAGCTGAACAGGGCTCTGAGCAACCTGACCTAGCTGAAGATGTTTCTGCTCATTGGAGGGAGGTCAACTAGATGACCTTGAAAGGTTCTAACTATTCTATGAATAACAGTCATACAAAGCAGCTTTGGAAATCTCTGAACCCAGCTTCTAGCCTTCACCATGAAGACCTTGGTGCAGGACTTTTGAGCCTCTGGATAGAGACCAAGGTATCAGCTGACCAACTTTAATGACTGTCCAGTTCTGTCAATTACCCTGTACTTTTCTAATTGTGCTAAGAACATTTTGTGTTAATCGCTTTTCGGAAAACTTGTCTTCCCTGTGCTTGCATCCTTACCTGATTTAGTGTTTGCCTTGTACTCATAGGCAAAAAGACTGTTCTCATGTTTGCTAAAGTAAAACCGAAATTATATTCTTAAGAGACCACATAAGTCTAAAGAAGAGCTAAGGAAGGTCTGGCTTTGTGAGACCTTTCATTTCAATCTTCTGTCTGACATTGGACAAAATATAATCTTACAATCCAGTTCTTGACTTACAAAACCAAGCAGTGATATTTGCTCTCTTTTGATTAGCTGTCTGTTCAGCTATGCCAGGAAAGTATCAAAATACTGTTAGTACACTTTACAGCCTACTAAAATCTCACATTTGGTTGGAGCTTACTGTCATATGTACTTATGTTAAATAAGTCAAACCAACCCCCACGCTATTTCTCATAAAATGGGGACATGTATACAAAAGATGGCTTGCCAGCTTCCCCCCTCAACTTACAAACAGCTGATCACTGACTTCCCCAATCTAGTTTATGCAGCATTTTAAGTCCAGGAAGACAGACAAGCATGATGGGTGGCCTTCAGACTAACTGACTGAATCCAGCTCTCAACTCTTACTCTGTAAGAAAGGGTTTAGACAGAATGTAACAGGAGTTAATTTAAGCTGCTTCAAGAGTAAATGAATGCTGGCACTAAGCCTAATGTTCTTGAGGGGATTGGAGTTCTAGTAGAGAGTGAATCCCGCTTGGAACTTGGCCTAACGCTCTTAAAAGACACTGAGATGTGGAAGTGGACCTTCAGGCATGAGGAGATGTATGTTTACTTGGCTTTTTTTTTTATTGTACTTTGTAACAAAACTTAAAATAAATAAGTTTCTGTCAAACATGATTTCCTGAGAATGACAGGACTCACAAGGGCTTTTTTCATAGCAGTATGCTTTTGTCTTTTGATGTGACTTTACATTATAATCATTATGCCTAATGAAAGACTAAGAAAAGACTGCATTTAAGCATTATTACATAACTATTCAGTAGGCATTGACTCTTAAAGAAAAATTACATTTTAAACATTTCAGAAAATATTTTATTAGTATTTTCATTTGCTTTTTCAAATTTTCATCAATGTGAACACCTCTAGTACAAAATCTGATGTCACAACACAGAAAGATTTCTTTAAAAAGCAGGTATGACATCTTGCTAAATGTAATTATTTCTGCTTACAAGAACATGGAAGAGCAAACTAAGCAGGACAGCAAAGGGATGTAACATTTCAGGGCTGCAGCATACAGTAGCTGATGACATTTTTCACCACAGAACTCAATTTGTCTGGTGAAACTTTTATTATATCTACCAGACTGCCAGCATCATTTCTATAAACCACAGAGATCTTTGTTTTGTGCCATAAACCACCCTGCAGTGATACTGCATGGGGTGCAGCAGGACTCTGACTCACCAGTTTTCTAGCTGTTCAAGGTGTGTGTTCTAGCACTCACAACTGTACCAGCACAGTGACAGCAGCACAGCTGTGAGCAGCATGAGCACAGCGGCAGCTTCCTTCTGGGAGCCTGTGCCCACAAGGAGGTGAATTTACTGCAGAGAGAGAAGGGGTGGCTGAGGACACTTAACTCGCCCATCAGCATTGCGTGCTTGCAGCCACATGAGGATAGCTCTCCATTGACACTGCAGCTGTAGCTGTTCCAGGCAGGAATGTCATCTGAGGGAAGACAAATGACCTACTTCTTTGTTTTTACTTAAAGAAAACCTGAATATGCCTGTCAGAACAACGAATTAAATCTCCTTGCCTGTGCTGTGGTCATGTATTCAACATCAAGGGATCTGGCATTTAGAAATGAAATCACTCAGCCATCCTTTACAAGATGTTTCTAAGATGTTGCTGGCACTCATGAAGTGCTTGCTATTGGCTTCCACAGAAAGTAAAGTCCTTTAAAGGTGTTTGTACAAATACTATGTATCAAAGTGTAAGATTGGGATGGAAAGTGTTTTATCTATCTAGAGGGAAACAGAAATAGGCAATAGGAATTTCCTGCAAGTTTTACAGAAGAAGTGGGATTTTGCAGGGTATTTAACAATTGACAGATTTCGCCTCTATGTTTTATATTGGGATTAAAAAGGCTTTTCCCATGTGAGTTAGTTTCTGGGAACTGGAAAATGCAATGTAGAGATGGAAACCATTCATCCTGCATATTGCACTCCTGGGTGATTTTGCAATGTGCAGTCATTTGTGCTTCCCAGAGAATGTGTTTTTGAAGGGTTTGTATCCTGCTAAGGACTTGAGTCCTGATATTCTTGAAGATGTCTCAAACACTTCACAGAACGACACTCAGTGAACAACACGTGCTAAATTCTGAAATGCTATTAGTTAAATGATTGAAATTATGCTCCTATGAAACTGAGTTAATGACTCTGAATTCAGGTCAGGGAAAGAGAGTGAACTAAAATTACTTTGATGGCAGTGATGGATGATCACCTTTTGTCAGTGGATAGAGGGCAAAAAAGCATTTCCATGTTTCAGAGCCTGAACATTTGTAATGTTGACAACACAGCACTGTCTGTCATATCAGAAAGAGGTGGAAGATATAGTTTGCTAAAATAGACTGAGTACCTTCTGAAGGCCCTCAACCAAAGATCCAAGTAATAGAAAATTGCATGCAGCTGTTCTTTCATCAGTCTTTCTTTCTCCACATTCACATGGAGTCACTAGGTGAACTACTCTCATAACAAGAATACTGGTACTGCCAACATACAAATGGCATTTAACTTACTCTCTGCTTTACTTCATATGACCTTATCATTAATTCCCAGATGGCCCAATTTTTGAATGTGATCAACTAATTAATATTTGAATGTAACCAACCAAGACCCAGAGAGCTTTGTTAAAACTATGGCAGTGAGAAAAAAAAAGCACTCTGAAGTATTAGTCTTTTGGCACAAGTGTTACTGACAACAAAGTCATTCCGTAATGCTTCCCAGCTAACACCTCTGCCACAACAATTTCTGTAAACTCATCTTCTATCATCTGTATTTCACAAGAAACTCTACTCTGCCCTTGAGAAGGATACCTATCCTAAACTTACTCATGCTTTTGTTGTTTCTGATTAGGACCACACATGAGCACCACATCCATATGGGCCATCAGAGCCTAGGGAATCTTCAACGCCGGGTCAGCCCTTGTGGAAGCTCAGTACCCCGGGGTTCCCGCAGTACCTCCAACCCTGCTCGTGACCCGTTGCTCCTCATGTCCTCAGCAGTGGCAGTCTGCTCTGGGACAAGAGCCACATCAGGGAACGAGGTGAAGTTGAGCTCTGTGACAGACACACGGGGGGCCGCAGGACCGCTGCAAGCGTCGCCACTTTTCACTCCCTACCGCACAGGCCTTCCGTGCCCCCCCTCCCCTGGCACAACCCAACACCTGGTCCCTGCCCTGCCCGCCTTCCCTCCCCACCAGGAACCCGCCAGGAACGGGGCCCTGCCGCCTGCCCTCGCCTGGGCTCCCCGTCCGGGACGGAGGCAGCGGGCGCGCTCCGCCCGCGTTACAGAAACAGGGCATCAGTTAGGTTGGAAAACACTTCTGGCACCATCGAATCCAACCTGTGGCCCAACGTTGCCATGTCAACAAGACCAGAGCACTGAGTGCCACCTCTAATCTTTCCTTAAACACGTCCAGGGATGATGACTCCAGCACCTCCCAGGGCAGCCCATTCCAACGTCTAACCACCCTTGCTGTGAGGAAATTCCTCCTAATGCCCAAGCTAAACCTCCTCTGGCGCAGCTAGAGACTGTGTCCTCTCGTGCTGTCGTTTGTTGCCTGGGAGAAGAGGCCAAGCCCTGCCTGGCTACACCCTCCTTTCAGGTTACCTCTCTGCCAGCCCCGTCCGCTCCGGTTGTGCGGCGGCGTCGCTCCCGCCGGCGGGCGCGGGCCGGAGCTGCCCCCGCCCCGCGGCCTCGGGCCCGGCACTGCGCATGCGCGGCGCGGCGCCGCGGCGCTTTCCGGGAAGATGTCGGCGGCGTGGAGAGGGGCGGCGGCGGCGGCCGCCCGAGCCCCGCTGCGGGGGCGGCTCGCCGGGATGCGGCCCCCGCGCAGCCAGCGCCGCCCGTCCGCGTGGGGGGCCGCCGCCGCCGCTGCTCTGGTCGGGGGAGGCTGCCTGGCGGCGTGTTACAGCGGGCGGCCGCGCGTGTTCCCGACGGTCCTGGCTCAGGTAAGGCAGCAGCATCCCCGCTCCCGGCGGCGGGCAGGGCGCGCAGGGAGCCGGGGCGCGGGGGTGGCTGTCGGCGGCCCGCAGACGGGTCGGGGTCCGCGGTGCTCAGACCCCGTCATGAGGCGGGACTTGGCTGCGGGAGCTCTCCTGGCCCCGGTGGTGTGGCAGGTAATGCGCGGCCCCGGCCCCCTTGGCGTCAGCGCGTGTCGCTTAGGCTGGGCAGCCTCGCCTCCCCGGCGGCACTCCGCCGTTCTCCGCAGCGGGACACGCCAGGGTTTGCCTTAGCACGGAGCCTTTCCCCTCTCCCCTTGACAGCCCTGGTCGTGCAGAACGATGGACCGCTGTGTTCTGCACAGACACACGGCCTGTAGTGAGCTCCGCTTTTTGCTGGTAACTTTCAGAGGAAACTCCCACGATGCCTGGTCTGCACGTCAGGTGCTGTTAGACATTCATGCACAATTTTGCCTGTTAAAAAAAAAATATTTCACAAAAGTAGTACTTTTGTAGTTCATACCTTGTATGAAATGCACCACACAGAATGATTTCCTCTTACCATGTCCAAAATGTGTGTCCTGGATGCTAAAATGTGGTTTGCTTTGGATTTGTTCTGGGTGTTCAAGGACAGATTGTTATTGTTTACAATATAATCTTTGTACATGATTACCCAACTTTATCCTTTTCATGGAGGCAATGAGCTTTTTCCCGTTCTTCCTTCAGATAAAAAGTCACTGTCAATTAGAGTTGGTTTGTTATTTCAAAGCTGGAAGACCTAAATGCTTTGTAGGCCAGAGGGTTTAGGTGTGATGGGGGAAGAGGTCAGTCTATGCTTGCAGTGCCATTCATCTACTTATATCTAAGAATTTTTTGAAGTATTCAACACTTTGTATGCTTTGATGTCTTATCTCTTAGCAGTGATTAAACAGGCTGAACTACAAGCAGATAAATAGCAGCTTTTATTCCTGAGGACAACTTTAATTCCTGAGGACAACCTTTATTCCTGAGTAAAGAAAAAATAATTACTTTTTAAATACTTTTTTAAAATATTGTATTCTTCATTGTGGAAAATACCTAAGCGACATCTTCTTAGAAAACTCACTTTTTGTTAGATAGGCATTTTTCTAAATAGATTATCTAGTAGTCCTGGTTCCTTGGACAATACTTGTTAAAACTTTAATTTTCTGTATCCATCTCCTAGTGAGAAAAGCATCCATTACTCAGCAGATATCCTACTGAAAATGTAGCTCCTATTCGTTCCTTCATTTAATAATGTGAAGTTTCTAAGCCGCATTGCATTATTTTTTGAAAGTCTTGTCTTTGACACCAATTTCATTAATGCATGGAACTCTTGCTTAAGTAGATGTGTATGTAGATATATATTAGAAGTGGGAAGTAATCACTTTTAAAAGGTGTTGAGTGAAGAGGTCTCATTCTGGTGCTGACGTGTTATTGTGGAGTAGCTTCTGTGTAATGCATGGACAGTCCTATGAGTACACTTTTAATAATAAAGTGTATAACATAATAATTCTCAAGAGGCAGTCTAAAAGTCTAGGACTTAGTTAACTGATTTGGTTTTGGTGACAGTAACTTGCTGGACTCTTCAAATGTTTATTCAGTTTGAACTTTTCAGTTTTCCTGTAGAATGATTGTTGGAGAAGCTTATTCTCCATATGTGTTGTACTCCATATTGCTGCAGGTAATGTACTGAGCTTTTAAAACCTATCTAAGAAATTACCATGCAGATCATAATGCTGCAAGTGGATTGTGAAAGCTATGAGCAGCAGCGATAGAGCCAAAGAGGCGTGCTGAAAGTCTTTTAAGCAGTTTAGATGCTGCTTGTGACTTCTGATTGATAGAAAATAGCCCAAAGTACAACAGTGTTGAAACAAGTAGTCACCTTTATTACATGTTTTGAAACTATCTTTTTCTCAGTTCAGAGATTGTGGAATTGTGGGATATGAAAATGCTTTGCCCAGTCTCATAGTGGATACCTTATTTTCTGTTATTATTAGTTTTCATTGTAGCTAATCTTAACCCGCCTTGCTTGAGCTTGTGCTGACAAACAATATTGAACTGTTTGTTCCTGTTGTAGTATTCTATGTAGTGGGAATGTTGGCAGCATGGTTTGTGAATATTACAGGTCAAGGCAAGTATTTGAAATTAAACAGCATAATTTTCATTATCTTTGTTTTAAAGGACTATGTAATTGAATTGTTTATACTTCTGTATCATCAACAGGACTTACTGGTTGCTCTTGAGAATGCAGTGAGATTATGGTACAGTGCTTCGTAATTTTCCTTGGTAATATAGTTTGACTGTTGAATTGCTGCAAAATAGGTCATAATTACTTAAAATATTTGACAAAGTGAAGTTGACAAAGTGACAATGTATCTCCATGCTGTAAATAACCAATATAATAAGATTTTATGCTTTTCAGCAGCATAACATTATGTCTAAAAATTTCTGTCATTAAGACCAATGTCATGTCTGTGTGTAAGCATAATTTGAGCCACTGAGTAATTTTCATTCTTGTCCTGAGTTACCATCAGTAACTTCTTTGCACAAAGACTTCACTGGAAATACTTCCTGTTTGTTTAGGTTAAGTAGTTGAAGTTGATAACTCTATTTAGATTTTCCATTTTTCTCACTAAAACTAATCTCTGTCAAAGTAATCAGACATCTTTCAGTTTTGACTTGTTCCAGGCAATTTCAGACATACAATTTCTAGTGAAGCTGGCAAACAGCATGCCAAAGGTAAAGTTCTATAAATTTAGTACTTACTCTTTTTTTTTTCATTCTTGTAAAGCTTTTGAATATTCTAAAATCAAAGACTGATAGCTTTGGGACCTAGTTTCTTAAATCTATTTTTAATTCTTGTCCTTTCTTGCTGCTATAATGGGTTTAATCCTGCTCATATTGATTAGGGGCACTTCTGACTTCTGCTCATATTAAATGAAATCCAGCCTAACACAGCATAATCCTGTATGAGTTTTTCAGAATCGAAGGTCTTGCAGGGTCAGATAATATGTTTTCTTTTTGTGAGTTATATGGATAGTTTCTGTTTTATTTTGTAGTGAAGTATGTTTGGTTACTGTATTTTAATAGAATTGTTTATTCTGACAATGACTTTTCAGTTCAGGGTTGTTTTTTTTTTTTTAATTTTGGCCCAGTTTTTTTGTCACCATTTTCACTGCCAGTTACCCGTTCTTATGATGTACATTAAGTGGTTAAATATCTCAGTAATAAAATGTTCTATATTTAATGTGATAATACCTCAAATGTAATCTTTCATGATTTATGAAGTTGTTTTCATTCTCTATCTTCATTTGCTGACCCACTGTTTAGAAACATATAACATATGTTGGAGTAAGTCCTGAGTGTTGATGGTAAAACTCTACCAAGATTGATATAGCAAAATGAACACAATATTTTTGAATTTTTTTCTTTGTAGATACCAGGTTTTGGTTCTATCTACACTAGTTATATACCTGTGAAGCTACACTGACAATACCCAAACCAGATAATAGCCTTTGCTGGAAAAAACTAGATCAATTTTTGGTTTTTAATAAAATT